TGTTTATAAGATTTGAATGTGCCATTTCTCACAAATCAATACAGGAAAAACATTATATAAGTGAAGTAATAATAAAAATACATTTTGCTATGTATTGTTATTTTTGTGTATACAAATCTCATTCTTTTTAAACTATAAATTATATTATATTAAATTATATATTACACTTGCGTATGAATAGAGCACAGTAAATATGGCTGAGCACATTTAAGGACCTCATAAAGCAGATTTAAGAAAGTAATGAGGCATAAGTACAACACAATATCTGAATGGAAATCAAACAGCACTATGTGAAATACTAATGCGGATCATTTCTACAATGATTGCAGCAGCAGAACTGACACACTCGCCACGCTAATTGGTTGATTATGCTGTGTGTGGTTAATTTGGCTATAGATATACAGTGCAGTTTGAAAACATTCATCGTTAAGTATGTAGGAGCAATCAGGATCTAACTGCTACACAAAACGAGTAAACTGCTGTGGTAAATTAGCCTCAGCAGAGAAAGAGGCTTAAATTAATGAAATATTCACAACCAGTTGTTTCATACGTTCATTTGCTAACAAGCAGCAGTTTCCTGTTGCCTGCAGAAAACCTTCCTCTTCCTGTACAACCGCTCGCTTTCCCTGAAATCACCCGGAACAAGTCATTAAAAACATCATCTCCTGCTGCGCAAAACCGCTGAAACCAGACTAATGTGGTCTGCTGGTCTTAGCTGGTTTTAATTGGTAGTTTTCATCAGGTCTGCCTGGAAAACTAGATGAAACTTCCAACAAAAACAGAAAACCACCGTGGGCTGGTTTAAATGGTTTGATTTTCAACATTATGGAGACATTTATTTTTGGGTGAACAGCTATAAACTGAAGCTAAAACTAAAACCACCAAAAAAAAAAAAAAAAAAAAAAAAATAAAAAAAAAAAAAAAAAAACAAAAAAAAAAAAAAAAAAAAAAAAAAAATTAAATTAAATTAAAAGTAATATTTTACTTAAAATAAAAATTAACTGAAATAAAATAAAATATTAAAACTTCAGCATAAAAAACTATTTCAGCTAGTTTCAGCAACATTTCTCATTTTAGTTTAACTTGATGTACTAAAATAAATAAAACTGAAATAATATGTAATAAACACACACACAGGTTTGTTTTTATGGTTTATGGGGACTCTCCATAGGCGTAATGGTTTTTATACCGTATATTCTATTGCCCTACACCAACCATACCCCTAAACCTACCCCTCACAGGAAACTTTCTGCATTTTTAGATTTTCAAAAAAACTCATTCTGAATTATTTATAAGCCTTTTGAATTACGGGGACACTGAAAATGTCTCCATAAATCACCTTCTCGTTGTAATACCTATGTCATACCCATGTTATTATACAAATGTGTGTCCTCATAAACCACATAAACATGCACACACACGTGCAGTAAAAATGACAAAAAAGTGCAACAAAATGATTAGAAATACATATTAAATTAAAAACTTTAAACTATAAAAGAAAATGAAAAAAATATAAAATGCTTCAAAATATAAAAATAATATTAATACAGTTTATTAATAATATAATATAATATAAAAATAATTTGAATAAAAACTATAATATTATCTCAATGATACTAAAACCACTGGGGTGAAATATACAAAACAAGTCAAGAATATGATCAAGTCACCTCCATCGAAATAAATCATTTGATGCATTATGACATAAATTTTATTACAATAAGTGCACATTTACACACAATTGCCAATATAATAATGCTGCCATTACTGTAACATGAAGTCATAATAATAATTATAATAATGATATTTAGGCGTGGTACTGTCTAAAATGTATGCTCATTTAAACAGAAAAGTCTTTGTACTAGAGTAATGAGAATCACCATTGAGAATAATGAGAGTTATAAAAAAAACTCAAAAGAAAAGCATTACAGTAATGAGAACTTTGGGGGAAAACATGCGTAACTGTCATGAACAGAATGCATATGCAGGACAAAAATCTTAACAGGCTTCATTATCTCTGCACAATATAGTTTCTTATTTCTTTCTTCGGATCTCATGGTGAAATGTTTTCATGAGATTCCTGCTTTATCACTAAAGCAAGCTGCTCGATTAATGCCGCTAGCGCTAGTGCATTAAACAAATAGTCTCTCTGTCTATTAAAAAAACTAAATAATATAGTAATATATATATTATTTAGAAAACAACAGTGAAAAAGCTCAAGTACAAGGAAATCTGTAGTGTTGTTGTGATTTGTTATCATGTCCTTGTTGTTTCATTCAGCCCTAGATTTTTAAAAATCCCTGAGGTTTTTCTTCAATAAAGCAGAGCTATGAGAGATGAACTGTTTTCAGACATTTTACAGTTAGACAATGGAAGCTCAAAGCGCATTTTCCACAACAGAACATGTTTTATAGGAATCCTCTATTACTCGATACTGATGTTCTGTAGCGGACAAAAGATCTGCTGTAGAAAAACAGCAGCAGAAAATTCAGTTAATAAACTCTTTGGGTGCAACAAACTCTAACGCAGCCTTCAAGCTGTGTAAGTCTGATCTTAGTTCATTTTAAATTGTAAATGTTCGCTTCAGTACATATTTTGTGTACTGAGGAATAGGCATTTCCCATCATTCTCCATCCCGGCTAACAGGGAACATTCCCAGAACTTTGGCGAATGTTTTCTCAAAGTTTTGAACAAATGTTCTTCTTGAAACATTAATAGAACGTTCATTCAAAGTTGTCTGGGATTTCGTAACAAAAATGTAATTGTTACATTGTCACAATTGATCATTTTTTCAATGTCGTGACTCGCTACTTGTTTCAGAATGTTCAGAGAACATTCAAAAGTAACGTTCCCTTAATGTTTTCTCTAACATTCGCATAACCAAGAATGTGAACATTAGAGAAAACATTATAGGAACATTCCATTTTAGAATTTTGCAAACGTTATGGGTACATTACTTTTGAATGTTGTCTAAACGTTCTGAAACATGCAGTAAGTAATAACATTTAAAAATATTTTCTTTGAATGCTTTGCTAATGTTACCATTAAGGTACGAAAAGGTTATTTTTTTATGTTTTTTAAACATTCAAAAGATCCAGTTTTTAAAATGGTTTAAAGGAACACTCCACTATTTTTGAAAATAGGTTCATTTTCCAACTCCCCTAGAGTTAAACAGTTGAGTTTTACCGTTTTCGAATCCATTCAGCCGATCTCCGGGTCTGGCGGTAGCACTTTTAGCTGTAGCTTAGCATAGGTCATTGAATCTGATTAGACCGTTAGCATCTCGCTCAAAAATGACCAAAGAGTTTCTATATTTTTCCTATTTAAAACTTGAATCTTCTGTAGTTACATCGTGTACGAAGACCGAAGGAAAATGAGAAGTTGCTATTTTCTTGGCCGATATGGCTAGGAACTATACTCTCTTTCCGGCGTAATAATCAAGGAACTTTGCTTTGGCGCAATGATATTACTGTCACGAATCTGGTCAACGAACTTTCCTATTCATTGACTCTCGCACTACACAAACTGTTGCATAGCACCCAAACTACATTTCCCATCATGCATTGCACTGATTGCACTCAGCACGAATTGCACACACCTGTTTACACTGATTGCACCCAGCTGTTTCATATCACTCCCTCACTATTTAACACTCACTCTGATCCCTTCGTGGTCACGTTGGTTATGTTGACGGAAGTTAGCCTATTTTCAGGCGCTGCGTAGTATCATTGCGCCTGCTGCACCCATAGTACGGCAACAAAGTTCATTGATTATTGTGCCAGAATGAGAGTATAGTTCCTAGCCATATTGGTCTAGAAAATCACAACTTTACATTTTCCGTCGGTCTTACTACACGATGTAGCTACAGAAGAGTCAAGTTTTAAATAGGAAAAATATAGAAACTCTTTGGTCATTTTTGAGCGAGATGCTAACGGTCTAATCAGATTCAATGATCTATGCTAAGCTACAGCTAAAAGTGCTACCGCCAGACCCGGAGATCGGCTGAGTGGATTCGAAAACGGTAAAACTAAACTGTTTAACTAGGGGAGTTGAAAAATGAGCCTATTTTAAAAAATAGTGGAGTGTTCCTTTAAAAAGGTTATTTTCGAATGTTCTCTGAATGGTTAAAAAAACATTTTCATAAATTAATGGGAACATTAGCCAAGCATTCTTTCATTTTTTTGTTTTGTTTTTAATGTTATTACTTACTACGTTTCAGAACATTTATTGCAAAATACAGAGAACATTCAAAAGTAACGTTACCATAATGTTTGCAAAATGATCAAATGGACCATTCCTTTAACGTTTCCTCTAAGAAAATAAAAAAAAACAATTTAAAAATGTTTAGAGAACATTCAAAAATAACCTTGGGAACATTAACAAAACATTCTAGGAACACATTTTTGTTAACTGGGATGGTAACAAAAGACTGTTAAAATACAAGATAAAGCATGAATTTCACACCTAATGCGCATCTTTGCTTTTAGTTTCTGATGCATTGGTGGTAAACAAGCTTCCTGGCTTTATGAAGAAGCCAAAAAGAGAAAAAGAAGCATGAAATTATGCCACTCATTCACAATTAAAATCAATTCAGAAACTTCCGAGCTTACGCATGTGAATTATCCCAGCAGTTGTGCACGTTGTCTATGTGTGTCAGAAGTCACAAACACTTTCAAATGCTTCACGCTGCAATTGAAGTTTGGTCAAGTTATGCATTATTAAAAAGGTTGAAAACGATGCACTTTGCTGAGCATACAGCACTAGACCATTTGCTTTCAAGTATCATCAACGGACACACTGCTATTATCCGTCTGCGGTGAAGCTCAACGTGAAAACTAGCCTCGGGGAGCGAGAAATGCACATTCACTTATTTTGTACAGTGGAAAGTCACTTCCTGCAGGGTGTTTATTTATCCTTGACTTTATGCCTTTGTAGATTTACTAATGTTTCGAGAGCACAAAAGCGAGCGCTGCAGAGTTGCAGTGATATAAGGTACTCACTGAAGAGTAGCATGCTGGCATTGGAAGCCCCGAGGCGGTTGGTGGCGAAACAGGTGTAGTTGCCAAAGTGTTTTTCTGTGACGTTGGTGAAGAGCAGCAGGGAACGTGTTTTCTCATTTTTAATCTTCAGCGTGTTATCGCTCTCTACCGGCCTGAGGAAGAAGTAATATGACAGATCACACGTTAAAGTAAACCTGGTATGTGCTGCTTCCCATGGTTCACAGCGTCTGTTTCGCTCACTTTGTTAATGCTAGCTTACCTTCGGTCATCCCGGTACCATTCGAAGGACGCGGTGGGCACCGCCATAGCTTCACAGCGTAAGATTGCAGTTTTTCCCAGCTGGGCGGGCATGTTCTTTACGTCTGTGATTACTGGTGGATCTGAGTTCAATTAAAGTATTAGCACTTGTTGTTCAATTAAAGCAATAATTCATTCAAAAATGAGAAAAAAATGTGACCTCAGTGTCATGTCATTTCAAACCTGGAAGATGTATTGTATTAAAAAGCTTTTCTTAATTAATTGCATGATAAAAAAATGCAGAGGAGATTTTGTTATTGAACTGTGATGCAAAAACTTTGTAAAGTACAGGAGTCCTAAGAAGCTATGCATTATTATTACTGTTACTATTATTTGTCTGATTTTATCAACAGATGCTGATTTTATAGTTGTTTGACACTAGAAAATAGTTAATAGTTATACATAGTTAAATTATTCTATTATATTGATCCCATTATGCTATTATTAATTATTATTATTATTATTAAGTACTATAAAATAAGAAACCATTATTAGTCAATTGAAGTAAAATCAATTCAAGACATTTTGCCTTAATATTTTGCTTCTCAAGTTAATTTATCTAGTTTTAATGATGTTTAGATATTTTACTGGAAAGCAAGAAATACTACAGTTCAAAAGTTTGAGGTCAGTAAGTATACAAAAGCTCCATTAATTTGATAAAGAAAATCTAGTAAAAACAGTAATATTGTGAAATATTATTTAATTAATGTTTTCTATTTCAGTGTATTTAAAAATGTAATTTATTCCAGTGATGAAAAACTGAATTTTCAGTCTTGAGTGTCCCATGATCCTTCACACATCATTCTAATATACTTAATATTTTTGTGAAAAAAAAAAATCTGGATATTTTGTTGAATAGAAAGTTCAGAAGAACAAAAGAAGAATCTTTTGAAACATTATGTCTTTAACATCATTTGATGAATTTAAACGTCTCATTGACCCTAATATTTTGAATGGTAGTGTACTGTATGTACTTATATATTTGAAGGTCTACATGAAACTGTAAAGAAACACAAAAATGATTTTTGTTGTGGAAATGTAATTAAGTTTCTTAAAATTCTCTTGTTTAAAATTCTCTGAAATAATACTTAAGTGTAATAATGAAGTACAATTACTCAACCCTGTGGAGTTGAGAGGACACAATGAAAAGATAAAGAGTTTAATTCTATATGCGGCTGATGGCAATCCAATTTATATTTGCATTACTCAATCACAGAGTGTTCTGAAACGCTCCCAACGATCTCATTAGGATGTCACTGTGAGTTGCTGACAGGAGCAGAGCGGCTCGACTTACAGTTGACGGTGACCTTGACGCGGTGCGTGTCTGGCGGAGCCACGCCATTGTTGGTGATGCATTCAAAATCCTCCGCTTGATGCCGCTTGATTTCTGTGATTTCCAGAAATTCGCCTTCGCTCATGAGACCATCTGTGAAGACAAAAGACGAGAGGGTGATTGAATACTGGCGCCATGGCACAGAATGTTATACGTTAGTGTAATTGGGTTGGTAGGTGTTCCAGAAGCAGCAGCATTGTTCCAGAGTGTCATGTTAAACAAAAAAAGGCCCGAGGACACAGCAGGAGGAACCACGGGAATGACTTTACTTATTCATCATGTAGTGGACGCTCTTTATCCGAACCGACTTTCGGTCGGCGCACCACAAGGGATGGTCCTGCTGGAGTAAACGGCTGTTGAATGTCTTGCCCTGGAGCGCAATGGTGGCACGGGAATTCAGTGATCTTTAACCACTACACCACCTCCTCTAACACGACTAAACCATTTAACCACTTTTAAATTTTAAGTTTATTTCAACAGTGTTCAAGGTGAAGTGTGTAATTTCTGAACCACTAGTGGCACTGAATGGAACACTAATCTCTTATATATAATAATATATATAATAATATATATATATATATATATATATATATATATGCAAGAGAACATAGGCAAGTTGATATTCTGATCATATTTTTTTCCCCAAGCATTCCATTTTACCAATTCCAAACCACATCAATCTTAACAACTACTATTCATTTTGTATTTAATTATTTATAAGTGATATATAATTTGCCATGAAGGCTAGAAGTAAAAAAACTCCTCAGGTGTGCATTATTATTAGGCAGGTTTCCTTTTACAGATACATTGAGCCAAAAAAAGATATTGAACTCAGACTGAAAGTCAAAAATTATTAAATGCTCATGAGAAGGATGCAACACTAATGCAATACTAGAATTTGCAAAGTTAAGGCATGACCATTGGATGGCAAAATGCTCATTGGGACAGTGTGGTTAGAAAAAACAAGTGGAGAAGAAAAGACAGTTAACTGCAAAATAATTAAGAATTAAGGTGAATAATTAGGTGTGAAACCATCAGGAACCATGATTAAATACAAAAATGATAGTAGTTATTAAGATTGATGTGGTTTGGAATTGGTAAAATGTGCTTGGAAAAAAATATGATCATAATATCAACTTGCCTTACTATATATACAGTATATAAAATCTGCCTAGCAACCATTTAGAACTTCTTAGAAAACTGCTTAGCAACTGCATAGCAACTATGGAATTTATTGGAAGCAACATCCTAGCAACCACTCAAAAACCTTTGCAATAGATGACCAAACATTTATTTTTAAAATGCCCCTATTATGGATTTTTGAAAATTACCTTTCATGCAGTGTGTAACACAGCTCTAAGTGAATGAATACATCCTGCAAAGTTTTAATCTGAAAGTGCACCATGTATAAAGTTATTGTCTCTCAAAAGAAAGAGTCGACTCTGAATCATTGAAATGAGTCATTTTTAAAACGAATCCCAAGCCGTTTCATGTTGACGTCAACATGAAACAGCATATTGACCGCCCACTTGTTGTGTGCACAGACCTGGGAAAACTTGACCATCAGTCGATTTTCGCTTTGGTCTGAATGAAAATGCAAATTCATTCTTTGCCACTAGGTGCCGCTTTTGGAGCGGTAAAAATAGCGGTTTCCCCGGTAATGGCTGTACACAAAGCAGCACTGCGTTCACAAACGCTGCTTTATCAGGCATTACAGGCGAGATGAAATTAAAACCAATCACCGCAGATTAGCGTCACGCAAAGGAGGGGTTTGGAAAAATGAATCGTTGAGTAAATCGTTTGGGAGTCCTTGAGCAAATAAGGTAAAAATAAATGGATATTATAAGACAATGAAAGTGTTTTTTGACCTTGCATGCATGTCCACCTGTTGTTGGGGGCTCAAAAAAAACAAAATATGAATCTTTCATAACCCATAATAGGGGCACTTTAATATAAACCTTTATATTTACTTTTATTCACATTTTTTAGTAAACACTTTTACACTTTCTATCTCCAGTATATGCTTTACTTCTAAGCAACGCCCTAGCAACTGCTTAGTAACCACTCAAAACACCTTAGCAACAGCCTTGCAACCACGTAGAACACATTAGCAACCATTTAGCAACTTCCTAGCAACAACATCTTAGCAACAGCCTATAAACCAGTTAGAACTTTGACAACTGCCTAGCAACTTCATAGCAACAATTTAGAACCTAGCATCCTCCAAACAACCACTTGAAATACCTTAGCAAAAGTCCTGAAATCACTTTGAACAGCTTAGCAACTTCCTAGCAACAACATTTTAGCAACTATTTAAAACACATTAGCAACAGCTTACATACCAGTTAGAACTTCTTAGCAACTGCCTAGCAACTCCTTAGTAACAACTCAGAACCTAGCAACCACTTAAAACACCTTAGCAACAGCCTATAAACCAGTAAGAACTTTAACAAATGCCAAGCAACTCCCTAGCAACAATTTAGAACCTAGCAACATCCAAGCAACCACTCAAAACACTTTAGCAACAGCCTTGCAACCACTTAGAATACCTTAGCAACCACCTAGCAACAACATCTTAGCAACTACTCAAACCACCTTAGCAACAGCCTATAAACCAGTTACAACTCCTTAGCAACTGCCTAGCAACAACTCAGAACCTAGCAACCACTCAAAGCATCTTAGCAACAGCCTATAAACCAGAACTTTAACAACTGCCACGGAACTGCCTAGCAACTCCCTAGGAACAATTTAGAACCTAGCAACATCCAAGCAACCACTCAAAACACCTTAGCAACAGCCTTGAAGCCACTTAGAATACCTTAGTAACCACCTAGAAACAACATCTTAGCAACTACTCAAAACACCTTAGCAATAGCCTACAAACCAGTTACAACTCCTTAGCAACTGCCTAGTAACAACTCAGAACCTAGCAACCACTCAAAACATCTTAGCAACAGCCTATAAACCAGAACTTTAACAACTGCCCACACAACTGCCTAGCAACTCCCTAGCAACAATTTAGAACCTAACAACATCCAAGCAACCACTCGAAACACCTTAGCAGTAGCCTTGCAACCACTTAGAACATTTTAGTAACCACCTAGCAACATCATTTTAGCAACTATTTAAAACACCTTAGCAGCAGCTTACATACCAGTTAGAACTTCTTAGTAACTGCCTAGCAACTCCCTAGCAACAACTCAGAACCTAGCAACCACTCAAAACACCTTAGCAACAGCCTATAAACCAGTTAGAACTTTATCATCTGCCTAGCAACAATTAAGAACCTAGTAACATCCAAGCAACCACTCGAGACACCTTAGCAACAGCCTTGCAACCACTTAGAACACTTTAGTAACTACCTAGCAACTCTCTAGCAACATTTGAGCAACTATTTAAAACACCTTAACCACAGCTTTCATACTAGTTAGAACTTCTCCCTAGCAACAACTCAGAATCTATCAACCACTCAATGGTGATCAAAATCCCTATGAATAAGTCACAGTTACAAAGTGACTTATGAATGAGGAACATAAATTAGTAACCACCTAGCAACTACTTAGAACCTCTTAGCAACCACCTAGCAACTATTTAGAACACCTTAGCAACCACCTAGCAATCATGCTGAATAGAAGATTGCCTTTGTCTACCTATATACATTCTCTTTCTAAGCATTGCCCTAGCAACCAATCAAAACACCTTAGCAACAATTTAGAACCTAGCAACATCCTAGCAAACACTGAGAACATCTTTGCAACAATAAAGTTGCAACCTAGCAACTACTTAGCAATCACATTGAGCAGAAGACAGTCTTTGTCTATCTACTGTATATGCCTTCTCTTTCTAAGCATTGCCCTAGCAACATTCTAGCAACCAATCAAACACCTTAGCAACCACCTAGCAACTATTTACAACACCTTAGCAACCACCTAGTGATGTCTTAATCACATTGAACGGAAGATTGTCTTTTGGTCTATCTATATGCATTTTCTTTGCAACTGCTTAGTAGCCACTCAGAGCATCTTAGCAACAAGTCAGAAATCACACAGGCATTAGGAAATGTGCACCCAAGCAACCCCTCAAAATAACCACTACCTGCAACCACATATCAATGCAGAGCCTATATAAAGACTGCTGTCAAACAGCACAGGCCTTATATAACCTTCACACTTCACTTCTCTCCTCAAACTACACTTATATAACCTTCAGACTTCAAGCTCAAATTCATACGATGAACTTTCCTTTCCTAGTTATGTTTGCAGTTCTGTTTGGTGCTTCCAGTGGAGCAGAAACCACATACTTCACCTTGATTAAAATTAATTTCAACAGAATAAAATGTATTTATTTAACAAGAGCGGAGGCGAGTGACAAACGGTCCACGGAATAAACTGAAAGGCTTTGATAAGAAACTCAAGTCTGCGTCGCTCTCAGATAAATATCTTAGAACGTGTGTTGGGGAATTCAGTGAGCTTTATTTACCGGCCATTGTGAACTACAAAAAGTCTGTCTCGCACCTCTAAGGCACTTCTTTCCCTTTAGTGAGACGAAACAGACAACAACACACATCTGTAGTAACAAGGACAAGGGTGGATTTGCCTCTGTCTGATGAAAGTGGCTATTATTAATACAACAAAGACAGCGAGAACAGATACATTTGGAAGCTTGTTTCTGCCACAGAATACAAAATAAAAAAGGGAACTGCGTCTTTTTATCTCAAAAATCTTTTTTATTGCAATTGCGAGTTTATGTCTCACAATTCTGACTTTTTTTTCACAGTATTGAGTTTACATCTCACAATTCTGATATAAACATGCAATTCAAAGAAGTTAGAATTTCAATATTTACTTTTTCTTAGAATTGTGCATTTGCATCTCACAATTTTGACTTTATAACATGCAACTGCACAAGAAAATTGTAAGCTGACTTTTTCCTTCAGAATTGGACTTTATAACTCACAATTGAGTATAAATTGCATTAAACTCGCAATTGCAAGAAAAATTCAGAGTTGCATGATATAAACTCGCAATTTCAAGAAAAAAAGTCACAATTGCAAGAAAAAGTAACAAATTCACACAACTGAAAACAGAAAAACTCACAACTGCATGAAAAAAGTCAGTATTGGTAGATATAAACTCACAATTGTTGGAAACAATTCAGAATTACGGGATCACAGTATTGAGTTTACATCTCACAATTCTGATATAAACATGCAATTCAAAGAAGTTAGAATTTCAATATTTACTTTTTCTTAGAATTGCGTATTTGCATCTCACAATTTTGACTTTATAACATGCAACTGCACAAGAAAATTGTAAGCTGACTTTTTCCTTCAGAATTGGACTTTATAACTCACAATTGAGTATAAATTGCATTAAACTCGCAATTGCAAGAAAAATTCAGAGTTGCATGATATAAACTCGCAATTTCAAGAAAAAAAGTCACAATTGCAAGAAAAAGTAACAAATTCACACAACTGAAAACAGAAAAACTCACAACTGCATGAAAAAAGTCAGTATTGGTAGATATAAACTCACAATTGTTGGAAACAATTCAGAATTACGGGATATAAACTCGCAATTGCGTGAATTATGAGACAATCTTGATTGTCAGAAAAGTCAGAATTGCGAAATATACAATTGTGGGAAAAAGTCAGAACTGTGGGATATAAACTTGCAATTACGAGAAAAGTCAAAATGGCAAGTTTATATCTCAAAATTCTGACTTTATTTTTCACGATTCCAAGTTTATATCTTGCAATTCTGGCATAACTCGCAATTCTGACTTTTACTGACTGTGATTTAATATCCCATCATTCTTTATAACAGAATTGTGAGAAAAAAGTCAGAATTGTGAAATAGAAAGTCAGAATGATCTTTTGTATGTTCTATCCCGGGTTGAATCTATAGATTCACACTAGCTTTCTCATGCAACCATTTTCATCTATAACAGTCAGAACTGTTAGGCACACAAAAATCTCAGTGTCAACAAGAATAATCCACTTCTTAGTAGTATCTCTCTGGCTTCAGTCAATGGAGAGACGGAAAAAAACACAAAGGCAACCGCACACCTTTTAATTCACAACCGCCGGGACTTTAATTCCACAAATTCGGCACCTTTTCTAATTGAAGATTATTCCGGAGGATTATTAGCACAGCTACTGAACTGGAGAGGATTATTTGCATCTGCCGACGCCACCGACCGAGTACACGCTAAGGTTTACAGCAATGTTATTCACTCATTCCATTAGCGTAATAAATATAGTTCGTTCCCCCGTGACATCTTTGTCAGGCCGTGTGAGCACCGTCTCAACCCACTGGGGGGGGGGGGAAATCATCTTATCCTGACAAAGAGGGTTTACAGGTAAAGAGACTGGTACGTCTTGCACGCTTCGAGCTGAGATGCTTACTAAGTAGACGCTATTTGTATTTATTTCTCACAGTTGTGAAAAGCGTATTCCCATGTTGCCAGACGCATTTGTGCTCTGCTGCAACTGGAAAATTTCAGTGACAAAATCAGCTTTAGAAACACTTAGAATGGCTGGATGGAATCAAATCAAACATCCATCCATCCATCCATCCATCCATCTATTATTTAAAAATGACATTTATATGAATTTCTTGGAATTTGTTTGTTGCATTCCAATTCTGCATTCTGTTTACTATCTCAATTTAAATTCTGCAATTCAACTGGAATTTAACCCTATAAAGCCTGACGTATGACATATTAGTAAAAAAAAATCTGGTCATTGAACAAATATAATATATTTATGGCTATGATATACTGGGAATATGGATGACAATCTTTTATTTAGAGGACCAAATTTAAAAATTGTGCAATTTGGTGCAGATGCTGATATTTATATGGCAAAATTTTTTTTTATATATATAATATATATATATATATATATATATATACAGTATATATATTATCATACTAAAATGTTTTAACATATGTATGCATAAGGCTTTATGGCTATGATATACTGGGAATATGGTTAGAAAAAAAATCTGTCTCGCTTTACGCCCCTCTCTTTATTTCTGCCGTGCCGGTGGGTTATGAGGTGCAGAGGAAGTGCTGAGTGGGGAAAAGCGCAGACCGAAAGATCTGCAGACAAGCTATGACTACAATTATATGCAGAGTAGGAGAAATTTTATATCATGATAATGGTGTATGTCACAGTGTGGTTATTTTTGCTGAGATTTCAATGGAAAAAAATTTATTAATATATGCAATATGATACATTATATATGTATTTATATTTTACAGCTATACTTTTAGATTTTTAAAAATCTCTTTTAGTTTGTATTTAATGGACACAAACCGATAGATCGGATTATTCATATTTAAAACTAAAGACTCAAAGCAGCAAAATCCCTTCGGTTGACACATTCTACACATTTCATAGCAAAGAAATATAACTAGGTCACCTTGACCTTGTTTACACCTGGTATTAACATCCATCTCAAATGATCTGATCAGTGTTAACAAAAAAAGTCCAATATGTTAAATTGCCAATACATATTGCCAAGACTGCCTTAACGTTTCATTGTAAGTTTAAATGCTTACACATCTCAACATTGCATCCCCATCCACTCATGTGACACATAATCACTGTGATTAAATTTTTTTTTTAAACTTTGCTTTAAAAAAAAAATTTTTTTTTTCAACCATTCGATTGAAAAAAATGTGGAAAAGGCTGCACATATACATGCAAAAAATTACATGCAACATTTTTTTTTTAATGTAAATTTCAGGAAAACCTGGTTACACCCCCCCCCCCCCCCGAGAATTTATAGGAAAAAAGGTTCTTAATTGTGAATTATGCTTTTACTTTTGCATTCCTGTAGCTCATTATGTTAACAGTGCCAATGTCATAGGTTTGATTCCCAAGAAATGCACCGCCTGATAAAATGTGTATCCCCAATAATTTTTGGTATGGCAAATGCATTGCATGTTCAACATCAATCATATGCTTTCATGAAATCAAAGACCCTTCCCTTGATAATTGTAAGTGGTCACTGGACGGGTTTGAGATGCATGTGAATACCAGGCGTAAAAGTAAAAGAATACGATGTGCTTGGCTGACCATTTGTGACCAGATCACTTGAATGCGTACAATAAGCACACAGATATAGTGAGTGTACACTACATAGACACACTAGAGGTTTAGTATCTGAGCTCAGCTGCTCCACTCATGTGATGCTGGTCCATTTCCAGGCAGAGGGACTCTTGAGTTGATTTCTAAGGATCAATTGAAAAATAAATGACAGTAAATGATGATCCCCACCGTCCTGTAATCATATCGTGAAAAGATTAAATAAAAAATGCCCTCTCCTGTTATGCATTTCATCACAGCCACTCGAAATGAATGCAGCTAATATCAACGGTAATGAAAGTTATAAATAGCATGATTATTGATAACTGTGATTATTAATATTGTGGCAGGAACGATAATGGTGACAAAGATGATGATGATGGCACATGTTGACAATTATCACTCTGGTTGTGGCTATAATTATTTATAATGAAATCGGAGATGTAAATCGCCAAGACTATGATCATAATTGCATGCTACTCTTATTGTTTCTCTAGTATACTGTGTACAGTATGCACCTTTTATGCATGAGATACCCATACAACATTGGTCAAAATGTGCAGTATGAAACCAGAATACACTATGTTTTTAAAAGAATATTGTTTGATTAAAAGCATTTTGAAAATGCCATACATGTACATGCACAAAATTACATGTAACATTTTTGTAATGAAGCACGTCCAAACACAATTAAGTGATGTATGCGGAAAAATCGAATGAAAACCTGGTCATATATATATAAAAAAAAAAATTATTGCATAAAGAAAAAAAAGAAGCATATTAAGTGATGTGGCCGAATCTCACGAAAACCTTTTGACCACAAAATCAAAAGGAAAAAATAAGAAATTAAATTTTGCATAAATTAAATATAAATACAAATATTTAGCATAAAAATAGAAAATATCATGAAAACCTGGTCACATTTCATCTGAAAAATGTAATAAGACTAAATACATTAAAAATGTGGTGATAAAAATGATGCATTTTCTTTGTGTTCCCGTTTCATGTTCATAACATATTTCCACCAAAATAAAAGTTCAGAACACACTAAGCTGTGTAAACTGTATCCCACAATGCAATGTGCATAACTTGACCTTCATTTACAGTATAACAAACAAAAATGACAGAAGAGACTCACATCTGAAGTCCTTCCAGGTGACGGTCGGCTCTGGTCTGCCCACCGCCAGGCAAAAAAGATTGACGTCATCGCCTTCATTCACCGATTTATCCTGCGAGATGTTCACTATCCGGGCCGGCACTGCAAAAGAGATTTTAATTATGCTTAATAATAACAGAGTGAATATATCACGTCTTAACTGATGTCAAAAATCAACCAGGGTTTAGCCGAATAAATTTGCTGGAGACGGGTTGTTTGTTTCAGGGGTTATAAATGATTCCAATCAGCTGTTTTGGCCTAAATTCCCAAAGCAGAGGGCAGTGCATAATGCCGACCGGATAATGAGCTGGCCCTTGAATTTAAATGGCCTATGATCAGAGCTTTAATGAAGATGGCCACAAATTTGGCCTGCGAGGCATTCTCAAGCAGTCCATTTTTCAGGTTTCTAACAGGGCAGAATACATCCGATAAACTTAAGATTGGAACCAAAGCAGATCCATTGCTGTTGGAGGAGTGACTGGGGGGTGTAATTATTTTTGCTCATATCGCACTAAGACTAAAATTGAGGGCACAATGGTATCGAGCAAATATGGTCATCTGTCTGCAAAGCTCCGTGCGGCAGATAAAAGCCTGTGTTTGGAGAGCCTGCCGGTTGGCCAACAACATACACAAGATGCATTTTAAAAATGCTTCCCCCTCCTTTTCGCACTTCTTCGCTTTGATATTTTCAATCTTGTGCAACAGGAGAATGCTCCACGCATGGCGTCATATACATAACAATTGACAACTTTCAGCCTGCGGGGTTGGAGTAAAGGGAGGGATGCAGGCAATCCATCAGCGGATCGCGTCAGGCTGGATCGCAGGACCTCTTACTCATGTTGCTGCTGATGTGACAGTCGGCACGGCCCGTGTCCCGCCCCGCACCGCCGGTCAACTAAAGGCCTTCTGGAAGATTACTGAGCATAACCACCCCTCGGATCCTGATCACATCTGTGCCAGCCCCTCTTGTTTCTTTGGTACCGGCATTCGAGGAAATGTTCATTTGTGCAATTGTTTCGTATGAGTTCCATGGCAGAAAGGAGAACATCATGGCACGTGTTGACAATTATCACCCTGTTGTGAATGTAATTATGAGAGCTGTAAATCACTAAGACTATTTTCATCACTGCATGCTTCTGCAGTATGAAGTACTGTGTACAGTAGGCACTTTTTATGCATTAAACAAGACTGCACTGCAATTTTATGCTTTGGTACCACATAATGCATAACGACCAGAACACATAATGTTTTTAAAAGAATATTGTTTGATCAAATAAATTTGGAAAATGCCATATATAGATGCACAAATTTACATAATGGATCACGTCCAGAAAAAATTAAGTGATGTATGGGAAAATCTCATGAAAACCTGGTCACATCTCACCACAAATTCAAAATAAAAACTAGAAATTATATTTGCATAAAAATAAAAACAGTAATTGTGACTTTATATATTATCTGAATTTGGACTTTATTTCTTGCAATTTTGAGTTTATATGTTGGAATTTTGATTCTGATTTTTTTCCTCATGGTTGTGAATTTACGCTATCAAGTTTTTAAAATAAATTAACATTTTTATTCAGCAAGAATGCATTAAATTGATCAAAAGTGACAGTAAAGAAATTTAGAATGTTACAGATTTCTATTTCAAATTATGTTTTTTTTTATCTTTCTGCTCTTCAAATAATCCTAAAAAAATGCAGAAATCACGGTTTCCAGAAAAAATGTGAAATCAGCATATTAGAATGATTTCTGAAGGATCACTGAAGACTGGAGTAATGATGCTGAAAATTCAGCTTTGATCACAGGAATAAATTACATTTTACAATATATTCAAATAGAAAACCTTTATTTTAAATTGTAATAAAATTTCAATTTTTTTTTTACAGTATTTTGATCAAATAAATGCAGACTTGGTGAGCAGAAAACATTTTAAAAAATCGTACTGATGACAACCTTTTAAACAGCAGTTCATACACAGTATATCTCACAATTTTGACATTAATTGTCACAATTTTAAGATATAGGCCCGGTTTTATAGACCAGGATTAGGACCAGGATTAGGCCATAGTTCAGTTAGGACATTTGTGAAAACCCAGCTAAAGTAATTTTTGGGTGATTTACTGTTTTCTATATAAAATCATCCTTCATAAGGTAAAGAACATTCTGTGAAAATGTAACATTGATATCTTTATTACGGACTAAGACCATGTCAAAGATTGAAATCATAGTGAAATTAATGGTTGAAATCAAACTTTGATGCTTGTTATCTCATAATTAGATTTTGAGACTTGGATTTCACAGAGAGGGTCACATTTAAGTAATTTTTATAACCATGCATTAGAAAAAAGCATTACTGGTGTGCATCTTTAGACAAAACAAAGGCACTGACATGTTTTAAGATCAGTCAGTGCAAGTTTCTTTCAGTTGAAACAGCTCAGATTTACATTTTAGTCTAGGACTAGGCTTGAGCCTTGTCTGTGAAACCGGGGGATAATGTCATATTGTGAGATTTAAATTCGCATTACAAGACATAAAGTTGTTTTTGTGAGATATAAAGTCACATTGTGTGATATGAAGTCAGAATTGCAAACTATACACAGTAGTGTAAACTAAATACGTCAGATTTAAAATTGTGAGATTTAAAGTTGGCAACATTTGTTACTGGCAACTTTTTATTATTTTTTTCTACAGGCTTTTATTGAAATTCTGATCACTAAATTTACATACATTTCTGCCAATTACTTATTTTTTCTGGACAACTGAAATGGGAGGAAACCTGTTTTAGAAACCATTCGTATTTTTTGGGGCTGTAGCCCCTATTGCATTTGCATGTTTTCTTTATTATTGCAATTCTTTTTTGTGTTCACTAGTGACGCAAAATTGTCACTTTTAAGCGGCAGGCAGATGAACATACCCTGAACGATGAGGTAGACGTGGGCCGTACGGGGCTGGTTTTTGGCCTGGAAGCTGCATGTGTAGGGTCCCTCGTCTGACACCATCACTTGCTCAATCTTAATGGAGAAGTCGCTGTTGTTGTTGTTCACCAGGGAGACGCGGGAGTCCAGGGACCACTTATCTGTGCCCGTAAATAAGATGTTGGAGCGGTTCAACCATGCCTTTGGACAATACATTGTGTAGTATATGACCAGAACACATAATGTTTTTAAAAGAATATTGTTTGATCAAATAAATTTGGAAAATGCCATATATAGATGCACAAATGTACATAATGGATCACGTCCAGACAAAATTAAGTGATGTATGGGAAAATCTCATGAAAACCTGGTCACATCTCACCACAAATTCAAAATAAAAACTAGAAATTATATTTGCATAAAAATAAAAACAGTAATTGTGACTTTATATATTATCTGAATTTGGACTTTATTTCTTGCAATTTTGAGTTTATATGTTGGAATTTTGATTCAGATTTTTTTCCTCATGGTTGTGAATTTACGCTATCAAGTTTTTAAAATAAATTAACATTTTTATTCAGCAAGAATGCATTAAATTGATCAAAAGTGACAGTAAAGACATTTAGAATGTTACAGATTTCTATTTCAAATTATGTTTTTTTTTATCTTTCTGCTCTTCAAATAATCCTAAAAAAATGCAGAAATCACGGTTTCCAGAAAAAATGTGAAATCAGCATATTAGAATGATTTCTGAAGGATCACTGAAGACTGGAGTAATGATGCTGAAAATTCAGCTTTGATCACAGGAATAAATTACATTTTACAATATATTCAAATAGAAAACCTTTATTTTAAATTGTAATAAAATTTCAATTTTTTTTTTACAGTATTTTGATCAAATAAATGCAGACTTGGTGAGCAGAAAACATTTTAAAAAATCGTACTGATGACAACCTTTTAAACAGCAGTTCATACACAGTATATCTCACAATTTTGACATTAATTGTCACAATTTTAAGATATAGGCCCGGTTTTATAGACCAGGATTAGGACCAGGATTAGGCCATAGTTCAGTTAGGACATTTGTGAAAACCCAGCTAAAGTAGAGACGCTGCGTCTCTTTGCCATACTCCCTGCATCCCTGCAGGCGCTACTTCATCGAAGCTGGTTTGCGCCCGGCCGGATGTGCCTTTATGCTTTCTGGTGCTTACGTCACCCTGCTCGTGACGTCTCGCTGCTCCATTGGACGGATTTGACACGTGCTTCAGAACGCGGTCACGCAAGGGCGTTCCCAAAGCGACTCGACGCAGCGTCTCGTTCCCTCGGGGAACCATGGTTACATACGTAACCTAGAGACGTTATCAATGCACAAATAATCAATATACATACATGAATCCTCTACTGTATGTTATGGAAGAATATTCAGGACTATTTTCGAAAGGAATAGCAAATTGTATTTTCGATTGCGTTTTCCATATGTGGACACATAAATTGTGACACAATCCAAATGCAATTGCAAATCTTGCATTACTGTTTGCGATTATCCCCTGCTGACAGTGATTAAGAGCCACAACGGTACACACAATAGGTCAATATTCACTATTAACCAAACACTTTTAACCCGTCTCAACAACTTTACACTCCGATTGATGTGAGTAAACATACAGTGCAATTCTACACTTATTACTGTATATTTTATTCCTCACTTTTAATCTGTAATAGAGAGAGTGTCGTGCCTGCTTCAAGATCTTCTACTGGAATAAAGTTGGCTTTACTTTGGACGCTCGATATTCGCAAATTTAGGGACCGTCTCTAAAGTTACATACGACATTGGCATACACTTTTCTAACTTCAATAGCATTTGAAGAGAATGACTAACAGTCATGAAACCAACTGTAAAGTGTTCATGTAGGTGTCAGTTATAAATAAACTGTAACTCATATGTAAATATAATTTTTTTCTGTACCGAATGGGCTCAAACACTATATACAGTTGAAGTCAAAAGTTTACGTACACCTTGCAGAATCTGCAAAATGTTCATTATTTTACCAAAATAATAATTGCAAATAATAATAAAAAAGCAGACGTGGTAATTAATATTGCTATTTAAATATGACAGGCTCATAACTCGTAAGACATAGGAAATACAGTTGCAAATGGACTTTGCTTTTTCATTTGAAATTTGGCAGTCACTGTGCGTTCGCGAAAACGCAAACGGTAATGCAAGATTTGCAATTGCATTTGGATTGTGTCACAATTTATGCGTCCACATATTGAAAACGCAATTGAAAACACAATTTGCAATTCCTTTTGAAAATAGTCCGGAATATCCTTCCATAGTATGTCGCCATAATTGCAAATAATAATAAAAAAGCAGACGTGGTAATTAATATTGCTATTTAAATATGACAGGCTCATAACTCGTAAGACATAGGAAATACAGTTGCAAATGGACTTTGCTTTTTCATTTGAAATTTGGCAGTCACTGTGCGTTCGCGAAAACGCAAACGGTAATGCAAGATTTGCAATTGCATTTGGATTGTGTCACAATTTATGCGTCCACATATTGAAAACGCAATTGAAAACACAATTTGCAATTCCTTTTGAAAATAGTCCGGAATATCCTTCCATAGTATGTCGCCTCAAATGTTTAATTCAGTTTGCAAGCACATAAGATGGCGATAAAATGGTTAATATTGAAGGGACGGCATTGAATAAACCAAGACAAAGCTTTTTCTTTGTCACTATGTCCTGGCAGGCATGTTCAAATCTTTTTCTGGCACTGTACGCCATGCGGAGGATGCAGTTTTGCTCTGGAGATCTGCCCTCACAAAAGCTTTTCTCCTTCATCCAAAATATGATTCACATCTGCTGATGAGTAATCCCCATTTTAAAACATTTAGAGTCTTATAAATTATTTGTCATGAAGAATTGCTGAAACATATTTGTTGCCTTGAAGCAACATTGTGTGGGAGTGGAACAGATACGGATGCAGCTGCTATAGAGAATATTACAGTTATCATATGCTTTTATTTATTATTATTTTATTTATTATTTAAAAAAAAATTATACTTTTCAAATCATCAATTTATTAAATATTCATTTATTTTAGTATTTACTTTTTTGTAAGTCCTCCCAATTCCTAAATATAACTTATGCATGAAAACTGAATAAAGCATTTTTAAACTTTTTTTTTCATAACGCATGCAAAAATATCATTATAGGTTCATTTCAATAATTCAGTGAAAAAGACACAGCACTATCACACTGCTTATTCAAATGATAATTTATCCATATAAATTATTTATAATAAAAAAATATATATATAAATAATTCTGTATTTACTTAACTTTTCATAGCATGGAAACGGAATCAAACATTTTTAAAACTTGTTTTTCATAAAGCATGGAACAGATGGTTAATTTCTAGGCATATTTCAATATGTCAAAAAGTGTATAAAATATCACAGCACTACTGCACTGCTCATTACATTGTCCTTTTTTATATTAATAATTTTTCTGTACATCTAAAAGTCCTCCCAAATCCCACTGATAAATTTTCTTAAGCATGAAAACAGAATCATTTTTTTTAAATCGTTTTCATAATGCATGCAACAAAGCGTTAAATATTCTAGTTGTATTTCAATAATTTAGTTAAAATCATTTTTTATTCAAATGATTCATTTATCCATATTATTTTTCGGTACTTACTTTAAATTTAAAATTCCCCAATATAACTTTTCTTACACACAAAAACTGAATCAAACATTTTTTTATAATGCATGCAATAGAGGGTTAAATATAATTGTAGGTACATTTCAATAATTAAAAAAGTTTACAATATCACAGCACTCATTCATAACCCTTTAAATTACGAGTAATAACAAAATAATATTAACGACAACTAAATAATGTCTGCCATTAGCCACTGGCTATTAAATGATTAAAAATGCATGGTTGCCACATTTGAATTATATTTACTAAAGTTCTATCATAAAAAAATGCTTGATTGCCTGATGTTTCCTAAAACTTTAGTTGTTATTTTTTCTAATTATATTACACTTAGATACAAAAAAACAAAAAAACAAGCCAACAATGGATATATTGCCAGCGTGTGCACAGAGGATTGATTCAGTAACGTAATCTGTTCTCTCTCTCAAATAAAAATGTCTATTTGCTGACTTCAGTGGGGTCTATAAATACATTGATTTCAGTGGTGCAAAGATCAATGTTCACCGGACAAGAGGCTCTAAACATGTCATTCTGGGTCCTGGCTGGATGCTGTGCTTCACTGGGAGTCTATGAGAGCATCATGAGCACCATTTGCACCAAATCAGCTGATTTGTTTATTGGACAGTGAGGCTTGCATTGAAGTATTTTCATCCTGAGAAGTCTGAAAGCTTCTCTACACAACCAATGATTGAGTTTCAAAAGGAACGTTGCAAAAACTGGCAGTGATATGGATGACTGACAGTGTTTGAAATTAAAAACACTCCCGAGTCTGGAGATGCAGTTAGTTGAAGTCAGTCTCAACACATTCGGGTCAGTGCTCATAATCTTGTCTTTTGCCTGCTGGCATTTGTAAATAATGCAAAAATGCAATTCAGAGATTGGTTGATTTTTTTGCATCAAGTATTGCCACTGTTTAAGAAGTAGCAACACTGAAGACAGCAAAATTAATAAACAGATCGAAGAACAAACGTTGCCATATAACAACTGACAACTGCGCTTCACATGCTACTGAATCAGACCAGTGACGCCATCGGTCGAGTGATATGCAGGAACCACAGTTGACCTCTAGATGCCACTGTTCTGCTCTGCTCTTTAAATGGAGAAGTCGTGACACATATAAGGCTTAAATATCACTCACATTCATGTCAGCTTTCACTTTCAGCGTATCAAACTGTGATATCACATCAATTCCCATTCCCGGTGCAGTTGTGTAGAATAATAATACGGTGCTTTTGAGAATATGAACCCCTGACAGCAGGTTCAGGAGTTCAATTGCTGGCTGATAGACTGAAACCAAGTCATTTCTGCCAGGAAACTGACTAACAACAAGACTAGAGAGAGTGAAATTAAAATGTTAAAAATGCACCCTCCAGTGAGTGAGCATGAAAAGAGCAGTAGGGCTGGGCGATATGACCGTATATACTGTGTGTATATATATATATATATTGCTATCAGTAGCATTATT